TTAGGAGCATCTTGCACCTAAGCTCTCGTCAAACTTACAATTCAATGGGGGTAAATTGCTCCTGCTTCATGCAGAAGTAACATTTTCCTTCCCTGAAATCTCAGTAATGGCTGAGAGGAAAAAAAACCCAAACCCTTCAGTTTTCTTGGGAAAACACGCTGTGTGCAGCAGGCCGGGGAGGTGCGGCAGAGGACGCAGGGCCATTGCTGCTGCCTCGTACCAGGCAGGCTGCCCCAGCTCAGCTGGTGGGGAGCACCCGGCCTCTGGGGGCACAGCAGTTGGCAGCTGTGAAGGCTGGTGGTAGGAGCTCAGAAGCAGGAGCTCCTGCGAAGTCCCGCAGACGCTGCGTGCAGTGGTGGTAAGCTGAAGTCTGTGTCATGGCTCCATTTTATGTGCCTGGTGCTTTTGGCGGCCTGGTCAGTAGCCAGAGGCTTCCCCTGAATTGCCTCATCTGCGTTACTTAAAAATGCTGTTGCATCTTAATGACAGGTTTAAGATGCTTTATAATACCACTTGATTACTAGGGTAGTTTTTCACAAAACCAGAGCTGATTTTTAGCTTCCTGAATTAGTGCTTTGGCTATTTTTACCTCTGACAACCCAGGTGACTGATTCTGCCAGTCTATAAGTGTAGTTTCCTGTTAAGATGGTTGTACTAACAGTTGCCATACAGAAAAATTTGTAGGAGGCTGGGAATATGTTCTCCAGTTTGTGTGATCTGATACCTGGCAGTTTCCATGGTGCATATGCATTACATTCTGTCAGAAACTTTATTTTTGGCAGATATTCGGACTTACTGAGGCGTCTGATTGTGGTCGCTTTCTCTTTATTGTGTGTGTTAGTCTAGTTTCTGTTTATATTTGAGCAAATCAGACCCCTGGGGAGTAAAGGCATTATTGGTGTATTTGCTTTCAGCATGCTGTCCCAGACAGTTCTCTTCTGTTTCTAAACTGGCTCCTGGTCCCCACCATAATTAGTTCAACAACACAAAGCTGTGTACCACACCTCCTTTAGAATACTTAGATGAGAAAGCTCTTATCTCCTCATCTTCCTTTGCTGAACAAGTACTATATTGTTAAAAATCTCGTGGATAAGTGTGAGAGAATTCCAGAAATGATGTAATTATGAATTTTGTTTTGACTTTAAAAGACTAATTCAATGGTATAGTTTGCTTGATTTGAAACTTAAACATTTTAAAGTAGTGTTAAGTTAGTAAGTAATTTTTGTTTTCCCACCTAATTCAAATTATTTTCCTATATCTTTCCAGTCTTTTTCTCAGTCTTTTGACTTCTTGTTGTCTCTAACTTGTATTCTTTGGCAGAGAATTGTTTATTGTATTTGTAATCTGATCACATGTACCAGGGCAGAAAAATAGTTCTTATCCCTTCGTTTACATTCTACCGTTCTCTGGTTACTGTTAAGTAGTAAAGGCTGTATCTGACCTCAGCAAAGGTTGGAAAAGTTTAGTTAGCATTTGCTAGCAAAAACAGTGATGCAGGATTCTCATGGCAGTGTCTTAGGAACTGGTCCAGTAGGAAGTTCAGCTGTAGGTTCAGTTATACCCTGAGGCTAAGGTATGACTGACCAGCGCCAGGCTTCCAGGAGAGTGCCCTCAGCATGAGGTTAGGCTTCTTGGCAGCCAGGAAGGGATGCTACCTGCTCCATTTGGCTGCAGTAAACAGCCTGGCCAAAGCAGTGCTCTTTTCCTTCATTATCCTGGAATGGCTGGAGTTCAGCTGCCCCTGCTAGTGTTTATACAACTGCTCTGCTTGTGGAAAGTAAACAGAAGGACATGGTATTCATTTGTATGTAGACACAGATGAATGTAAATAAATTTTACAGTAATGAAACAATGAATGCCCTTCAGGTAATGAAAATGGCTTGTGAGCAAGGATACTTCACTAACCAAATTTGATTGTTTGAAAGGAAAGGAAATTTTGATCCTGATGTGATTAAATTTAAAGTAGGCAATTGCTTCAAAGCAGAGATTAAGACTTTGGCTTTAATCATAGACAGCAAATTTTCAGAACTTGTTCTTCCTTCAGCTGAAGCCAGAGGGGACAAAAGAATGCGTGCTCCACTTGATAGACATATAAACTGGAAAGTTACTCAAACTGTTCAGTGGAAGTTTCCATATATTTGATGGCTCTATTTGCATGACAGTTGATCACAAGCTATTCAAACATGTTCTGCTTCAGCTCCCTAAGAAAACCATTTGTTTACTGTCTCAAGTCCAAAACAAAGCCAGTGAGTAAGATTTTTTTTGTCTGATTTTACTAGGTTGGGGCTCTAAGCTTCCAGTTTCCAGGCAGCTTGTTTAAGATATAAGTAAGTTGATCTTCTTTGACAGTGTGCTTAGGACTGCTGTAGCACTTGCGTGCAACAGAGAAATTTTCTGTGCTTTTTTGTGGTTTTGATGCTTTCTGGAGCTGACTTACCCTTTAGCCTAATGAAAGGAAGGAAAGTGCTGACAAAACTGGTGGGGCTAGATAGTAAGAGTTGGCCCATTAAAAATATGGCTTATAAGAAGTTGTCACCACTTCAGGACCCAGAGATGAAAATATGTGTATTGTACAGGGCTATACGTGGTAGAAGAGAAGGCTTATATGACAACACTAACATGAAATGCAAATAGAAGTAATTATGAATATTTATGTTAGAAACCACTGTAAAAAAGTAACTTCAATTTATTTAAGACAGCAAATTTTTAAACTTTGTAAATTTAGGTTGCTCTGGGAGCTTCACCGGGAAGGATGAACTTTTGGACTGCGTTAACTACTATTTAATGTAAAATCCAGAAACAGCTCTGGAAGTTGCAGTAAGCGCCAAAATGCTAAATTCAGAATCTTTTACACTTTTCTGAGTGAAGGAACCATAAAACTGAACCCTTGTGCTGTGGATTTACCCACTTGCTTCCCAAAACAGAGCTTCTGATCACAGCTACTACCCTCTACCACACTGTTCTTCCTCCAAACTTACCTTCTACTTACAGCACAGTCCATAGCCTTTCCACCCTCCCTGCCTCTGTATCCCACTGATATTTTTTTCAGATCAGAACTGTGCTCAAATGCTTGCTGACACAAACTTTATAAATTTAACAAATATACACTTCCTACCTCAGTGTAATCAGGCTGTATGAAGGGCACAAGTAATGCAGCATCACCATTCCCATGATATGGAAATATTTGGACGTTTAGCTCTGCAGGTTTCAGTGTCTCAAAGATCCAGATCTGTTTTTATCTTGAAGGATGAATGGCATGAGTAGAACTGCCTCCTTCTTTGCAATAGTAAAAACAAAGTGGAAGCAAAAATGTGATTCTACTAGCTGGCATGGGATTTATATTCAGAAATTTCAACTACACTGAACAGTGACTAAAAATTTAATATTGACTCACTCAAGATATTTGTATAAATAGTATCCTTGCTGTCTGAGGATGATTTAGGATCTTTTCTTTTGCGAATTGGGATTTAAGATAATACAGGCTGTTAGGAAGCATCAGATGCAACTTACTCGAGCTATACTACATAAGGTTCATGATAAAGGCTTTTATATTACAGGATATCAAAACAGACCGCAGCAGTCACAGTTTTTCTTGCCATATATATTTCTATAAAAAGTTTATAAACTAAATGAATTAAACCTCTGCACAAGTGCAAAAGTGATATTGCAGATGAATTTATACAGCAACAGCCAAACACTCTTATCTATAAACACATAAGGAAATTAAGGATAACAATTAATAGAAAAATACAAGCATCTTCGCCATTTGTGTTTAGTGTAATATATAGACAGTTATAACTTACTGAAAAAATGCACAACAAAAGCCTGATTAATACAGTCCCTTCTGTGACACTCCATAGCTACTATGAATTTTACAATCAATAGCAGAGGGGAAGGAAAAAGGGAAACCCTAGACTGATAGGAAAAGTGCTGTTCTGTTTTCCACTATGTATTTTATTTGCAGAAAAACCTTTATTTTCTAAAGAATACTTGGAATATGTTATTCACACCAGGAATGTGGAATAACATGGTGAATATTGCATCATTCTAACCACACACAGGTAGGTACAAATATATCAACACATTACTAGGTATGTAATCAAATTAAAGCCTTTTTTCAAGAAAACTATTCTTTCATCTTCAGAGAACCTCACACATCTCTAAAGACTTTTTAGTAGGATTAGAAAATTCATCTGTGAGCTACTGAATCCCACTTACATGTCTGCCTATTTTTTTCTTTTCTTACCCTGTAATCTGACATAAATCGGGTTTGAGATACCTTTGGATTTGAATGCTTTCAGTTCCCAGTGTGTGGTCTGGTCTAGTTTAATCTCTTTGCCCAAGATTCCTGTCTCTGTCTACTCAATAACAACTTTGTAAAATCAAGACAGTAGACAGGAAAAAAAATCTGGTTATTAGGTACATTAGGAATATCACTGTTAACTTCAGTGGTGTAGGCAGGAGTAGTATCAGCTAATATGCTAGGATCCAGATTCTCACAAAGAACTACTGTGCCTTACATACCTTTCAAAATCTATGCCAAAAAACCAAACAACATCAATCCACAGAAATCTGTGGGTAGAAGTTAAATGTCTTTTGATGTAAACTTTGCCAACCCAATGGCAACATCTTTCGCAACAGCAAAACCTCAATGAGTAAAAAACAGACAGTTTAGCTACCATCTGTCATATCTTTTTCTGCCCTATCTTTTCCTAAACTGCCTGGCAACAATGCATGTTGTGCAACTGAAGCACTGAAAGTACTTCACCCTGTCAGCAGAACTCCTTGAAAAGATACAGAAGCTACAGAATGCTTATAGAAGATAGTACCACGTATTTAAAACTGTATTATTTTTAACTCATAAAAAGACATCTAGCAAATGACAGCAAACATGTCAGAGCTGTATTGTTCGTCTGCTGATATCTGATAGCCCTAAGTGCATGATATGCATAGCTTTGAATTTGAGGATACTACATATGTATTGAAAATAATAGCTGTTGGCCAAATTCTGCATTCCAGTACCAAGTACAACTTCTAACAAGCTCACATAAAATCCTGACTGACTCAAACACAGAAACAAAAGTAGTGTTTCTTCTTCCCTTGCATTATGATAGTATATGTAAGAATAAAACATTTGTACTTTAGAGGGACCATTTCAATTTCATGATTTTTGGTTTCAAACTACCAATAGCAGATTTTTTCTTCATTGTTTAGAGTCCAAAAAATCTTTACAGATGCCTCTAATAATATCAGGAACCAACTGCTCCAATCCTGTGAACTCCCTAGTGAAGAAAGTATGAGATTCTCTTGGTTCAGAAGCCATGTCTTTCAGATCATCCAGAGGTGCCCAGGCAACACCAACAGAGAACACCGTTATTCCTACAATAAGGAAACCAAAATTATTTAAGAACATTCTGCCTATGGATACAAGAGCAGCCATTTCTACATCAATGTGGATTGGAAAAACATGTTTCAATATCTGTAATCAAATAGTATCTCAGTCTGTCAAAGATTATTAGAAATATCAGGAATTAGAAGATTGTCTCAGTAAAAATTCTGAAGGAAATACAGGGTATCTCAAGAGCTAGTGTCCTAGTTGTTTCTGTAGTGACACACATGAATGTGGCAGTTACTATGTCAGTCTTGAAACACAGGTAACACTGTAAAATGATTTTGAAAATAAATTTGGATCCTTTGTGTATGCTCAGTGCTTTCAAGCATCAGCTACCAATAAGCTTTTTGGCCAAAACTGCTTATTTGCTTCCTAAATAATGATGGAGAGTAGGCATCATGCTGTGCTGGGTCATAGCACTGACTGGAGCTTCATTACCTGGCTTTTTTATCTACTGGTTTCTCTCCTGTTTAGGGAAAG